TGTGTGTGTCCCGCCCCCCTTGTCCATGTTCCCTGTCTCTGTGTAGTGCGTGTCTTGCCAGTAGCAGCAGCAGCGTGTGCAGCACTGCAGTGCGTCGTGGTTTCTTGCGTGTGTGTAGTGTGTTGCCCAAAAAACAAAAATGACGCCTCCCGGGGATGCGTCCATGTGACATATATATTTGCACAAACGGTGTGCTATCTCGAGACACCGACCACGGATTGCAAAGGTAGCGGTTGGGACAGCTCGGGCAAAATNCGGCCACGGATTGCAAAGGTAGCGGTTGGGACAGCTCGGGCAAAATGTTACTTGTTGTGCACAAGTTTTAGTTTGCAATTTGGTGCCGAGATGGTGAAATGGGCTCGAGTCTGCTGGGTATTTGGGGCGCGCAGACAGACAGACAGACAGACAGACAGACAGCCATCGCGTAATTTTCACGCCCCTGTGCATGAAAATTATTCTTTTTCTCGTCCGCACATACTCCACACACGATCCCTTTAAACAGTTTTTTTTTTTGCGAAACAAAAAGCGTACCCCTATACGGGCCACACTTTTCGCAAAAAAAAAACTATTATTATTAAAATGTTCATGCCAAATTCGTCACAAAATCACGGTGAGACTCGAAAGCATCCTTCGACAAACTCTTCGTAAGAAAGTCTGCACGCTGGTACGGTGACGGCACGTGGATGACCGAAATTTCGTTCCTCTCTACCAGTTCCCTGAGACAATGGTGCCTTACTACTATGTGCTTTGAGTTCGAGTTTGAGATGGGGTTCTGCGCTAGTTGAATCGCCTCCTGGATGTCCTCGAAGACGGGAATGCACGGCATGCCGACCTGCGGCAACATGAAACGCCAAATCTGCCTCAAAAACAAAATCTCCTTCACTACGTCACCTAGCGCGACGTACTGTGCTTAGGTGGCCGAAAGCGTGACACACTTCTGCGTTCCGGAAAACCAAGACACAGCGCCTCCTCCACACGTCACGATCCCCCCTGATACCGACCTACGGTCTGCTGCCTTGCTTGCAAAGCCCGCATCAGCGTACCCCTGCAAGCTTAATCCCTCCACCGTACCTCTCTGAAACGAAATACCAAAGTTATTTTCGCCCGCCTCACTCGTGCTGAAGCCTCAACGTGTTGAGAACCACGATGACCCTGACTAGACCAGTGTTTGACACTACTTGACACTTTCATCAAATTTGATGAAAGTTGTCATCAACTTTGAACCAAGTTCCACCCACATGCATGTTAAGGAGGACGGACCCGATTCGCAGGGTATCCGTCGATTGACTTTTACCTGAATCGGTACACCTTCGCACACACTTGTCAAAGTTTATCAAGGTTGACGAGAGTTCGGCATATAGACTATAACAACGAGACTAGGAGTCACCATGACGGGCCGGAGAGAAAGAGGTACACAACGCAAGCAGATACAAGGCCATCTGGCACAGAAAACGTGAAAAAAAAAAACAGAGAAAAAAGAAGGAAATAAAAACAGAGAAAATGAAATGAACAAGAACGAGGACAAAAAGGGACCAGGTCGAAAATAAGAAGATACTGTTGTTGTTATTGCTTTTCTTCACATTAAACTCGTGTCAATTGCTAATCCCAAAATCTAGCAAAAGACTCGGTCCGTGGTCACAAAAATGCTAGAAACAACGTATTCGCCTGATTGAGAGCGTAGCATCTGATTGAGAGCGAGATTGCGCGATACGTTGTAGCCGGACTACCACTGAGAGGTGGAGCTTGCTGTGTAGCTTGAGTTGAAGGGCTAGCCCGTAGCTTCAATCCGCTACCCTGGTCATCCTGTGGGAGTCTCTCGTTGTGGAGCTACAGCGGGGAGCAGAAGCTACAGCAGAGCCCACCGCCCGACGCGATACCGCCCTGAAACAGTTTGAGCAGAAATAGCCAATCTGGGCAAATCTAGCAACTTGTCTAGCTCCTCGCTGCAGCATCCGATGACGATGACACGCATATGCTCGCGAAGCTGCTGATGAGACCTTCAATTTGCACCGCTTCTTGGAATAGCCCGTCCCCTACTTGCCAAGAAATGGCAAGAGGCGTCTGGACCCGAAATTTCAATTTTTTTGGCTCTCGCTCTCAATCAGATACTTCGCTCTCAATCAGGCGAATATGTTGTTTAGAGTCAACAGAAGATCTAAAAAACACACACATTATTAGCAAGGAAAGGGTACGCAAGCCCGAGGAGGTACACCTACCTGCAATCAATCCCTGCAGCACGTTTGCGTGCTCACAACTGAAGTACACGCCCACACACTACAAATCGACTACATACAGCAGCAGCATCACCCCAAAAGACTGTTTGTCGACTACAGCGTACTGCTGTCTAAAGTGCTGTCTGTACAATAATAACATCATGGTGCATGGTACACAAGCTCGGGGCATGGAGCTGCCGTCCGAAGTGCTGTCAGAATGCGTCCGTGGACATAGAATGAAGAACACCCAACCAAAGCCATCATTGCAATTGATAATCACCCGAATCTATCCAGATCATCTGTGCTAGGCACAGCAGTGTAAACATCGACACTGACTAGGAATCGTTCCACACTGAAGGGGTCTTCCACGATGCAGGTACACAATTAAGGCACCCGGGTTATCCGCGCCATCTCTGCCGCGTCTCTCTACAAAACCAGTGACGACGTCGTCACACACACCCAACACCTGTATTCGGGAAAAAAAAGGAAAAATAATTGACAATGCAAGACGCCTTGGAGAGGAGGGTTACGAGTTCATCGATGAACTTGCGACACATGCCGTGGGAGGAAGGGACGGAGGAACGATGGCTCTGAAAGGAGTCTTCAAGGAACGACTTCTTCAGATCGTTTCGGTGGCTACACAGGTGGCCATATCTCGGCGAGTGCAGAGGTACAAGCTCGCATTGCGCGGGCGTCAAGACGCCGAAAACAGGCGAACAAGATCGACCTCGGACCAGTCAACGCCAATGATATGGGGATGGAGTGTAGACGCATCGTAGAACGCGTTTTCGTTTGAAGTTGACGTCTTGTTTGAGAGTAGATGTGACAGATTTGCGTAGAATAGGGTAAGATGTTATCATGAACGGAGATGAAAGGGCTTTTCCAACACGGAGATGTAGCATGGATCAAAGCATTTATTTGTTGGATATCAGCATTTACAAGAGGACATCAACGCAAGTAGTATTTTAGCAAGCTTACGAACGCATGTAGGATACCATGAGGATTGTCATTGGTTGTATTTCAAATTCAAGAGGAGATATTTTTACGATGTAAGTGACAGTAGAAATATGTCCTACATATGTTGTTGTACTTCGTATTGGTTTAATATTCATGTGGAGTATGAGACATTAAGTGAAAGTTTTCTGAGGTACATCTGCAATTGTCGGGAGGCAAAAAAGAAAAAAATACAAGAGATGTTTGTCCGTGCGCCACGGTTCGATGCCGTCCGCCTGCTCCGGTTCCGCTGCTCCGGTGCCGCTGCTCCGGTGCCGCTGCTCCAGTGCCGCTGTGGCCAGTCCTAGCACGACCAAACTCGACCCGCTCCGCTTCGTGCACGCTCTCGTTGCTGTCCTTCCCAGTCGGTTCCTCGCTTTCTCCCTCNCACCACCTGTCCCCTCCGCCTTTGATGGCAAAACCAGGTCACTGAGACAGTACAGCTCCCTCTAGCAAACCTAGGGCCGTGTACATAGATCTAGTGCCCGTCCACCTTTCTGATGACGTCTGCCTCCACGCACAAATACGAGATGGGCATTGCTGCCTACACCGACGGCCTGGAGGCCCGCGCATCTGCACCTTTGTACCTGACGCACCAGTGCCGATCCAACTCCATCACTACGCACGCCTCGCGGCGGGTNTCGTCACCACCTGTCCCCTCCGCCTTTGATGGCAAAACCAGGTCACTGAGACAGTACAGCTCCCTCTAGCAAACCTAGGGCCGTGTACATAGATCTAGTGCCCGTCCACCTTTCTGATGACGTCTGCCTCCACGCACAAATACGAGATGGGCATTGCTGCCTACACCGACGGCCTGGAGGCCCGCGCATCTGCACCTTTGTACCTGACGCACCAGTGCCGATCCAACTCCACCACTACGGACGCCTCGCGACGGGTGCGCCGCAGCAAGAAGGTATCGGTCCCTTGAGGGTGAGTCTAGCCCTGGTCGCTAGAAAGAACCCCCCCCTCGCTATGGGTCATGCCTACGCAAAACCTTGCCGAGGCAGCGAGGAGAAGCAGGGGTATAGTTACGTGGGCCCGGTTTTTTAGCGGTTCCTGTTTAGCGGGCTGCCCTGCGTCACGATTGTAAAGGTTGCTGTGGCGGCCGCATACACGGCATGCGTGGAGAGGTGAAGGATCCGGATGACAACGAGATACAACCGGCGTGCAACCAAGAAGGCGAGAGTTCCCCTCACTTCTCAAATCCGCCCAAGCGCCAAGAGGAGGAAGGCGGCTTTCTCGCACCAGGCGCGTGGAAAGAAACAACTCGTGCTGCAGCTACACAACAACAGCCCCACACGCGGCTCTACTTTGGCTAGAAGCTCGAGGTTTTGAAGCTTCTTGACCAGAAGGTAGCGCAGTCAGAAATAGTGCGCACAGGAAGAGATCGCCGAAGCTTTGCATTAAAGGACGCGAATGACGAGGTTGTTGAAAGTTGTCCATATGTGTACATGGAGGGGGGGCCAACCCCTCCGACGACGACACGACGACCTAGACCTAGGGCTAGATACCACGGCAGAAGTTGACGGTACGAGGGGCAGCGGGGTGATGACGCCGCCACAATACTCGGAGCTATCATCGGATTTTGGCCAGCGTGGAGAGCGCGGAGTCGTGTGGCGTAAGCGAAGCAGCACACTACTTCGCAAGGCAAAAATGGTGTTCCTTGCAGCGCACGCCGCTCATCCAGCGCGCAAGGCAGATACCAGCAAGATTATTTTGGGTGAAGAATGATCGATACGAGACACATGGCAGAAATGAGATGCTTAAGCCCCTGGTTGGTTGCCATGGCGTTGTCACAACAAGTTTGTCTCATCGCCTTCACTTCGTTAGCGACGCGAACGATTTTCCAGCCTTGATGCGGGGCATACAGTCCAGAAGGGAGAATGATCTTCGTGCTTTGGCGAATAAAAATATATGCACTAATTAATGAAGAATGTGCTTGCGGCGTTGTCCTTATTTGGCTCGTTACTTCTCCATTTGCACCTTCGTATGACTGCTGCAATGAGACACATGGCCCTATCAAGATGAGCTCTCGACCCTGCTGTTCTAGGGCAAAAATGGGTTTTTCCCGGTTTAGCGGTTCATGACCGCATTGAGCCTCCTGGTTTAGCGGTTCATGGCCGATAAATAAAGTGGTTTTAGCGGCGATGCCCTGAAAAGCGGATATAAAACTTCGAGACACTATGGACCGCTTAGCCGTGCCCACGACTGCACATGTAGACAACTAGTCGTGATGAGGAAAACGGTGCAAAGATCTAGTACGCACGTAAGCTGTATCAAGTCGGCAACAATCCATTTCGGCAAAGGGTGGAACAGGGGGAGAGGGGGGCGATGCTGATGCTGTAGTCGAATGTAGTGTGCGGACATGCACTTCAGGTTTTGGGCACGCATACGCACACTGCAAGGATTGTAGGTGGACCTCTTCGGCTTATTATGGACATACACTTTTCTAGCAAATTGTGCGTGTTCTTGAGATCTACCTGCTGATGGCTCTACAGTAGTACCATTTACCTTGTGACCACCGACCGGGTCTTTGCTAGATTTTGGGATAAACACAAAGAAAACAGCAGCAATTGTTCTTGTTGTTGTTTCTCACATTCGCCCTTTTCCACAAAAAATGGGGAGCCCGTGGTCTCAAAACCCGGCACATACGACGCCGCGGGGAAACAAAACAAAAATAGGTTACAAACCACTCGGAAAAAGGAAAAATGATAGAAAAAGCTCATCAAGTTTAACCCGTACAAGGTAGATACCTACATCAAGGCGCTCGCAATCAAGAACATGCTATGCATGATAAGGTATGCAGGGCATATTGATTGATTGGTATCACAGCTGAACTGCACCCAGCATTTTATTTCAAGCATTACGCCGAGTATACCTTGCGTCTTTCCCCCCGCCGCTGGTTGAACAACGAAAGGCACCCCAACTGATCGTGATTGGTTTTACGAATTCTGTCGCAGGTGCCTTAGGACTCCGTAGGATGTTCATGCGTGCCAATATTCTAGTGTACACTCCCCCCCAGCACCGAGCGTTCCGAGATACTATCCAACGTATTATCCCCTGCTTTAAGTACGGCGAAACTTTCGACAGTTAACATGACCAACGTTGCGAGAGATACGGACCACGCCAAGTATAGGTGTATTTGCAAAGACCCCCAATGGAGTGAGTACACGGTTGCCATGAAGGATGGGTCTAAGTGTTTGGTTACCACGGACACAGGATGCCTTCATGATGCCAACGCTGCAGTCGTACTGAACCTGCAAGCTGGTTTTAGAGAAGAATACGCAGAAGCCCTGAACGATCTGTCATTCTTAGAACCACTCGTAGATGCCATAGATACATACATTGGTGGGTTGTGTCATGACCTTAAGATACCACGTGATGATGTTGATGAATAGGAGGAAGCATCGTACACAGCGATAGAAGAGTAAGTGATACTGATACAGGATAGCGAGATACGCCTCTTACAGGCCAAATAGACTTTATGGCAGCTAGGATAGCATTTAAACGGTTGCAAGACAAGGTAGTAGTTACAAGAGTCGACAAAGCGGCCAACTGTATATGTATCACGTGTAAGGCTTGTTATATTAGGTTAGCGACAATTGAACTTCAAGGACCAGGATATCGAACCATACAAGGGGATTTAGAGATGGCTAAACGGGAGATTATTGACCGACAACATAAGTTATTGACAGACGAAAAGCTCTCTATCCCCCAGCGACAGTATAAGGATGAGGAAGGTGATATTCAGTATGAAAACATTGAAAAGATACCAGCGCGATACCTCACAGCCAAACTGCATAAAACAGGGTTTTCGCACGATTGAGAGCGAAGTTTATTCGATATACTCGTAGCATAGCATGCGGGTGGTATATTGCGTATACATATGCTGGTATTACAGTGACGAACTACGGAGAAACAAGAAGTTTTTTTATGTTTTCCTTGGGAGTTTTGTTGTTGTTGTTTCTCACATTAGCTCTTAAAGAGAAAGATTGGGAGCCCGTGGTCTCAAAACCCGGCATACACGACCCCACGAAGAAACAGAAAAAAATAGGGTACAAAAACCACTCGGAAGAGAAACAAAATGATAGAAAGAAAGACCAGCTACCGCACCAAACGAGAAAGAGCGTCGAGGAGACCGATCAAAATAAAATAAAAGGAGAACGGGGAACGCTTCCCACACCCGCCTACAACGC